AAGACAGAAGGCGGGTGAAGCGGACTCTGGGATACAGGTTTAGCAGAGGAGTACCTGCTAGGGAAGACAATGGGATTAAGGCTGGAGGTCTCTGCCTTTTTTGGCGCAATGGAATCGAAATTTCATATTTATCCAGTTCTGACCAGCACTATGACATTGTGGTTGACTGTGCTGATGAAGGCCCCAAATGGCGTTTCACAGGCTTCTATGGCAGCCCCAAAAGAGACGAAAGACATCTTTCATGGGAACTCCTTAGGAAACTCAAGCATGACTGCGATCTCCCTTGGCTGTGCATGGGAGACTTTAACCAGGTTACATCCGGAGAAGAAAAGGAAGGAGGAAAGCTGGTGGATGAAAGGCTGATCGTGGATTTTTGTGATTCACTTGAGTATTGCGGACTTATGGATTGTGGTTTTGAGGGATACCCCTTCACCTGGGACAACGGCCAAGGGGGGGAGCGGTTCATCGAAGAAAGACTCGACAGAAGCCTCGCTAACTGGGATTGGCAGATTCTGCATCCGAGCCATAAAGTCACACACCTCGAGAGGTGTGGATCGGACCATTGCCCTATCCTAATGAACACGAGAGACAAAAGTGAGGAAGATATAAGATGGGGATGGCAGTTTAGAGTGGAATCCTATTGGCTGCAGGATACGGAAAGTAAAGAAGTTGTGGCCAGAGCTTGCACTACCTCTAATGATACCAACATTCTTGACATTCTGGACAATTGCAGGAAGGAGCTCCAGACTTGGAGCAAAGAGAAATTTGGAAACCTTCAAAAAAGGGTAGAGAAGATTGACAAAGACCTCCAGAAAATGAGATATTATCCGAAGACCATTCAGTGGATGGAGACCAGAAGGAAGCTTGAAGCGGAAAGGACAGATCTCATTCACAAAATTGAGCAAAAATGGAAGCAGAGATCCAGAGCCGACTGGCTCAAAGGTGGGGATAAAAACTCCAGTTTCTTCCACTCCAAAGCTACTCTAAGACGCAAGCGGAACACAATCAAGGAGCTGGAAGACGACTCAGGAAGAAGATTCAAAGGTCAAAAGGAAGTATCAAATCACTTGCTGGATTATTATGCAACCCTATTCACTAAAATGTCTAACCCTCCCTCTGATCTTGTAGTTAACGCTGTGGAGAAAAGAGTCACAGAAAACATGAATGAAGAGCTATCCGCCCCCTTTCAAGATGAAGAAGTGTTCCTGGCTCTAAAGCAAATGGGACCCCTCAAAGCTCCCGGATCCGACGGCTTTCCAGCAGGGTTTTACCAAAGAAATTGGGAGTCTATAGGCAAACACGTCACTAAAGCTGTCCTGGGTTTTTTAAACGAAGGCGCGATCCCTCAAGATATCAACCACACTCTCATTGTTCTGATTCCTAAAGTTAAAAAGCCTTCCATGGCGAGGGATTTTCGCCCTATCAGCCTGTGCAGAGTGCTCTACAAGCTGGTCTCCAAAGTTCTTACCAACAGGCTAAAGAAAATCATGAACAACATCATCTCCCAGGAGCAGAGTGCTTTCATAAAAGGTCGCTTTATAACGGACAACATCATTACAGCCTTCGAGTGCTTCCAGTATCTGAAGAGGAAGACCAAAGGTAAGAGGGGTTTCTTTGCTGCTAAGCTCGACATGACTAAAGCTTTTGACAGAGTTGACTGGGACTTTTTGGAAGCTATTATGAGGAAGATGGGATTTAATGAAAAATGGATAGGGCTGGTTATGATGTGCGTTAGAAGTGTGACATATTCCATCTTGGTCAATGGGCACAAATCCAAGGAGTTCAAACCCTCAAGGGGCATAAGACAGGGCGACCCCCTGTCGCCATATCTCTTCCTTATTTGTGCGGAAGGTCTTTCTGCCCTCCTGAAAAAGGCCGAGAATGATAAAAGGATCCATGGTATAAAAGTTAGCCACAGAGCCCCCGCTATCTCCCACCTGCTGTTTGCCGACGATAGCCTGGTTTTCGGAAGAGCCTCTATTGATGAGTGTGATGAGCTTAAGAAACTCCTAAAGACCTATGAGAAAGAATCGGGGCAATGTATCAATCTGTCCAAATCCGAAATCTCCTTCAGTCGCAATGTTAAATGGAGTAGGAAGCTGGAGATAAGTGGAACGCTGGGAATTAAAATTGCAGAGAAACATCAGAAATACCTTGGGCTTCCCACTATGGTTGGGAGATCCAAGAGGGAGGTTTTCAATGAGCTCAAGGAGCGCGTGCGGAAGAAACTCAAGGATTGGAAAAGTCTCACCCTTTCTGCTGCCGGGAAAGAAATTCTCATTAAATCTGTGGCTCAAGCACAGTTAATCTACCCCATGATGGTCTTTCGAATCCCTGATGGTATTCTAAAGGATATTCAAGGCATGATTGCCCGCTTCTGGTGGGGGCAGAAGCATGAAGAAAGGAGGATTCATTGGCTGAAGTGGGATGACCTCTGCCTGCCTAAGGAAGAAGGAGGCCTGGGTTTCAAGAACCTAGAGATTGTTAACACAGCAATGCTTGGGAAACAGATTTGGAACATTCTCACAAGACCAGAGGCCTTACTCTCCAAAATCCTTAAAGCAAGGTACTTTCCAAAGGGGGATATCCTTAATGCCAAACTGGGGAGTAACCCCAGCTATGTGTGGCGCAGCCTTGTCAGGGCAAAAGATGAAATTATGGATGGTTTCAGATGGAGAGTGGGAGATGGTGAAAGTGTGAACGTTTGGAGTGACTGGTGGATTCCTGGAACAAAAAACCTCACTCCCATCTCACAGACAAGTGATTGCGACCCTAATATGAAAGTTAGCGAATTGATAAACCGAGAAGATGGGTGTTGGGACTTGTCGGAGATTGAACACCTATTGTCAGACCGGGATAAGCTTATGATCAACCAGATACCCCTAAGATCCCCGCCCAGAGAAGATACCAGATTATGGACGGGGACGGATAACGGTGAATACACCGTTAAATCAGCCTATAGAGACCTCCTAAATAAGCAGTACCCAAGGCCCCCGAGTGATGATCGTGAAGCCCAGAAGGTTAGAGCTTACTGGAAAAGGATCTGGAGTCTGCCTATTCAGCCAAAAATCAAGTTCTTTCTTTGGAAGATCAGCAAGGATATCTTACCGGTTGGGGAGAACATTGTCAAACGCATCGAAGACTCTTCTTCTGACTGCCCTTTCTGTGGTCTTCCTGAGACCCAATTACACTGCTTGCGCGACTGTGACTGGACTCGCCGGCTGTGGCAACCATCGTTGGACCGCGACCCCTTCCTTCAAGGTGAGGGCCTTTCTGGATGCGACTGGTTTTTTAGGATCTTTGCAAGCACCGAGGACTCGGACCTTCAGAGGTTCTGTGCGATACTCTGGTTTATCTGGAAAGAAAGGTGCAACCATTTATTCAACAACGACAAACTCGAAGAGGAAGAAATTGTCCCTAAAGCCATTGCATGGATCACTGATTACCTCGCAGCCCAGAACACCCAAAGCTCCGCTACTCGCCAGGGAGTGATTGATCGTGGATGGGAAAAGCCGCCGGCTGGTACCTTTAAGCTTAACTGCGACGCTGGTCTCCTGAAGCCTGATGGAATCGGATTGGGAGGAGTGGTTAGAGACTGGAATGGAAACTTTCTGGGTGGAATTGCATGGAAAGAAAAAGGGCATTGCAGACCGATTGAGGCGGAAGCTAGAGCTCTGGCGCTGTGCTTGAGAGAGGCCAATCGAAGAGGTTGGAGTCCCCTTATCGTGGAAAGCGACTGCCTGAACCTTGTGAATCTTCTGAAGAACGAGAATGGCGACCGCACTGAGCTGGAGATTTGGATTCGTGAAGTGAAATGGCTCGCTGAAGTCAATGGCTCGATCTCTGGCAAGAAAATAGAGTGGAATCATATTAGTAGATCGATAAACTCGGTGGCCCACTGTTTGGCCCATTTGGCGCCTAGTTGGAACCAGCCCTTTGTATGGACCGACTGCCCACCTTGCCCCATTTGGGAACTGTTGGAGGCTGACAAAGCCCACACCTAATTTGATCAATGATATTGCAGGGGCTGATTATCAAAAAAAAAAAAGAAGAAGAAAAAGAAAGAAGCAGTCAACATCTCAACAACTTTTGGTGGTAGTGATGGAAGGTGGAGTCGTCTCGTCTCGTCTCGGGCTCGCCACCGCTTACGAATACTGAAATACTGAACAGAAATACAGAATACAGAATACGAGCAGAGAAGGTGGGGAGGAAAAAGGATTGGGGAGATATCCGACGTGGCAGTGGATTAGTGATCAAGATGAGTAGGCGGGATTGGTGAGTGCAATGGGTCGGGTTGAGTTGGGTTCCAAACTCAAATTTCATGGAGTTTTGTTATAAAAAATTTACAATAACAAGTTCCAATAAAAATAAAAATCAAATGTCAATCTCTCAATACAAATTATCCATATATAAAACATCATTCTAGAAAATCCAAGTAAATCACAAATTAACTATACAAATTGTTCAACACCAATTTATAGAACTCAAGAAAATTGAAGCAAATCATAAATTATCCATAAACAACATGATTAATTGAAAGCTTCTTCCTTCATGGGGAGAGTATAACCAACCCTAACTCAACCCGATGAATAATGAACGGATTTAAACTCAAAACCAAACCAAAACCCGTCAACACGAATTTTACCCGCGTTGACCGAATTGGGTCGGGTGAGGTACTCGTGAGTTCGGGTTTTGTTGCCATCCACACCAACAGCTCAGAAATTGCTCGATTGGATGCTAATCATTGTTGGTATATAAAATTATAATAATAGGGAGTACTGGTCAATCAAACACATTTTTTTTTTCTTTTTTATCCTCATCGTCAACTAGGTTGTCCTTGATTCCGTCCGTTTAATATATTTTTTTCCTCTCTTTTTTTTCTGTATTATAATCTTTTCTACTAAAATTTGGGTCCAACTTTGTGGCTGGGCAGGCTGGCTGATGGCAAGTGTGTGTGTCTATAAAGCCTCAACCTCCAAAGCAGAACAACTCAGGTTGCTCAATCCAACCTATCTATCTAATATCTCATCTCATTCCCTTCCCCCACCCCCCCCGAGCTGCTAGATAGTGGTGAAGTTAGTTTGCAAAAGGACGGTTCGATCTTTACTTGAGGTAATCAATTATTCAGTTCTTTCATCCTCTCTTCTCGATCGATCTGTGTTTTTCTCTCCTTGTTTCTCTTCCATTCGTCTTTCAGTTAAACTCTATATACATGAAGAATTGATATCAAATGGTTGCCTGCACTTTCTAGCTAGCTAGTTTGAAATAGTTTGAAATCCCGGGAATCTATATCTATCTACGTACCTAATATCATCCATGATTGCATTTGCATTGATGTCATCATCTGGCTCGATCGATCGGGATAGCTAGCTAGGATTGAAGATCAGAAGATTGCATCTTTCGCCAACCACACATTTCTAATTTCTTGGCCATTCATTCCTCATCGATCGGATGCCTTCTCAATTCGCAACCATCACTATCGTTTGGTTGGTTCTGTAGGAATAGATAGGACTTAGGATATTGCTGCATGCAAAGAAATTAACAAGACCATCACAGAAACAGAGGATTGTTTTGGTTCACACAATACATATTTGCAAGTTTTTTTTTTTTTTTTGTATATATATTTTTTCCGTAAATAAATTGGAAATTAGGTGATTTGGCAATTTCACCTTTTTCATTTTGCATTCCTAATAATATCTCTAGACTTCAAAATTCTAAATGAAATTATTAATCCACTGTCCTATATATATCCCACCCCAAATATTACTGCCATATATATGAAATGAAATCTCTAAACTTCAAAATTCTGCCTCAAATTATAATCTATCCTCAATTTAAAAGAAGAAAAGAGAGAGAGAGAGAGAGAATTATTATTTTTACTTTTACATCTATCTATAACCTCCATCAATTTGAATGAGTTATTTAGGTAGGAATTTGACCATCAAAATATTCGATAGGAATTAGTTTGGGCTGCAAGAATTCGATTGCCTCTAAATAAATTATAAATATCATAAACTAATGGAAGACCGCGTATATAATAATAGTAATAATACCGCGTCCCGGGAAAACAACAAACACAAAAGATAAATCAAAAGGCAAAGGTTGCCAAGAACGTACCTACACTTAGGCCAACTAGCCTGGCCTGGTGTGGTGTCTGTCTCTAATCTGTTCTTTTCTTTCTGTAAGCACTATGTCCACTTAATTATCATTAAATTAACACAAATCTAATTTTTATTAGCATTTGTGTTTTTTTTTTCTTCAAAATTACGTGTCATCTTGTATTCATCCTTGTGTTTTCTTTTTTCCTGTTGCAGAATCTTCTTTTGATCTGGTCTTGTCAAAATATTGTTGTTATTGTTAATTATCGTCAATAATAACATAATAGTACAAATTGATCAAAGCGTTAACGTGGATACCAGATTGCCCTCCTCCGCTCTGTTCCCGACCAACCATATAATTAGGACAGTTTTTTTGTTTTAATACCCCGATCCAATCTTTCATTATTATTATTATTTTATTATTGGTGAGGCACCAGGCCGGCGTCTTACCAAACTGGGCCAGCCCGGCCCACTAATCTTTATTTAATTTATATTTGGAGCAGGCCAACCATCGAGAAGCAAGAAAGAAAAACACACACACAAAATTGTGAGGAAGATTGATTAATTAAGGATGATCATCAACGTGAAGGAATCGAGTTTGGTCCGGCCGGCGGAGGAGACGCCGAAACTGGGGCTGTGGAACGCCAACGTTGACCTGGTGGTGCCCAGGTTCCACACTCCCAGCGTCTACTTCTACCGCCCCACCGCCGCCGCCGACTTCTTCGACCCGGCCGTCATGAAACGGGGCCTGGCTAAGGCCCTGGTGCCGTTTTACCCGATGGCTGGGCGCCTCAGGAGGGACGAAGACGGCCGGATCGAGATCGACTGCAACGCCCAAGGCGTTCTCTTCGTCGTCGCCGGGACCACGTCGGTGATTGATGATTTTGGCGACTTTGCTCCCACGTTGGAGCTCCGGCAGCTCATCCCCGCTGTGGATTACTCCGCCGGGATCTCCACCTATCCTCTCTTGGTTCTCCAGGTATAATTAACTATCTATCCATCCTTTCACACTTGTTTAGGATGCAAATTAAACCGACTTTGCGTGCGTGTACTAAACGACAAATTGCCTAAAAAAATGGAGTGTGTTTTTATTAATTTACATTTACTTGACATCTCTCTCCTTCAGGTGACATATTTTAAGTGCGGCGGAGTTTCACTCGGCGTCGGGATGCAACACCACGCCGCCGACGGCTTCTCCGGCCTCCACTTCGTCAACACATGGTCCGACATGTCACGAGGGCTCCACCTCACTCTGCCGCCTTTCATCGACCGGACCCTCCTCCGAGCCCGCGACCCGCCCCGACCAGCCTTCGACCACGTCGAGTACCTGCCGCCACCGGCGATGAAAATTTCCGCCACCACCGCCGCCACTGGCGGCGCCGCTTCCAAACCGGCCACCGATCCCCCCGCCGCCGCCGTCTCGATTTTCAAGCTGACAAGAGACCAGCTCAACGCCCTCAAGGCCAAAGCCAAGGAAGCCGGGAACACAATCAGCTACAGCTCCTACGAGATGCTCGCCGGCCACGTCTGGCGGTCCGCCTGCAAGGCCCGCGGGCTGGCCGGCGACCAGGACACCAAGCTGTACATCGCCACCGACGGCCGGTCCCGCCTCCGCCCCCAGCTACCTCCGGGCTACTTCGGTAACGTGATCTTCACCACGACCCCGATGGCGTCGGCGGGGGATCTGGGGACCAAGCCGACCTGGTTCGCGGCGGGCCGGATCCACGACGCGCTGTCCCGAATGGACGACGAGTACCTGAGATCGGCGCTGGATTACTTGGATGTCCAGCCGGATCTGACGGCGCTGGTGCGCGGGGCCCACACGTTCAAGTGCCCCAACCTCGGGATAACGAGCTGGGCCCGGCTGCCGATCCACGACGCGGACTTCGGGTGGGGCCGGCCCATCTTCATGGGCCCCGGCGGGATCCCGTTCGAAGGGCTGTCCTTCATCCTGCCCAGCCCGACCGGCGACGGGAGCATGTCGGTGGCGATCTCGTTGCAGGAAGGGCACATGAAGTTGTTTAAGACCCTCATCTATGAGATTTAGTTTTAATTCATTAATTAATAAACCTTTTTCTCAAACGAATTATTGGGACAGATGATTTTTCTTTTTGTTCATGATAAAGTTCTCTCGTTCGTCCCAATTTGATGCAGACGAGTTCGTGAAACTAGTCTTCATTAGACATGAAAATGCACAAGCGAAAAGTTACGGTGCTGCTCTGTTTTCGGCTGATTGCCTCCTGTCCTGTCTGATTTGTACCGCATATTTTGTCCAAGCTGCATTGTTGGAAATTTAGTTGAATTGGACTAACAAACTCAAATCGTTTTCAGTCGATTCTGTAGCTTCTAATTGATGATTGCACTTTTGTAAGTTTATCAATGAAAGCAGCTTCATTCATCAAGAAAAAAGACAAATATCTTTTCTAGAAATATGAGTGGAGTAGGTACTAGGTGTTGTAAACCAATTAGTCTCAATAACTCGAGTTTTTGAGTTGTTGAGAAATGTTCAATTATCGATATACCACTTACTAACACTAGGGGGTGGGCATTGGTCAATTCGATCCAAAATAAGTTTGAATTGAGATAGAACCGGCGGCCAAAACACATGTTTAGTTCATTTGATTTTATTTGGTCCAATCTAATTTTATTTTTGTATATTTTTGTTCATAGATAAAATAAATCATATGATCGAAACCCGATTGAAATATATTCTATAAGACACTTGAGAGATTATGTCCAATGCCAGGTATGTGGATTAACATTTGATATTTATTTGACCTAATATATTATTAGTAAATTGAAATGGTATGTGTGAATTAGTTAGATACTTAATTTAATTTGTTCTATAATTTTTTTTGTGTTTAATGATTTTAGAGTCTTTAAACTTATTGTTTAGTAGAGATTTTAAAAAGAAGAGAGAAAGTTTGGGTTGCAGTTCATTGGTGGTACTAATTTCATAATATAAATTCATGATCATCTGACATGTGAAAAAACTTTATGAGTTGATCAATACCAAACTACGATAAGAAGGAGTAGAAGACACATTGTTGCATTTATATATGAAAAACTATACGATGTCTCCTTCATATTTTTCTCTTACCAAACATATTTTTCTCCAAACTGTAACAAAAGACCACATCTTCAGTAAAAAAAATCAAATTTAAGAATAAATTACAAACAAATACACCCAATTGTTACTTTCTATTGTATGATATGTTGTATGTGTCTCGAGAAAAAAAAATGTTATGAAAACAAGCATTTATATTATTGTCAAACTGATATACTTTTGGATACTATACTCCAGGTACTATTAGCGAGATATCTCTATCTATTCTATAAATTAAATAGAGTTTTGAGTATAATACTATACCCTAACCTCTAATGAATAAACCTCAACTCCCGATTCTCTAAACTCAAACCAGAAGTTCAATTTAATAAAAAAAAAAATACTAATTGACCATTGAAATTGGCCGAAACTCAAAAAAGAAGTTCTAAGAGCCAGATCACTTGGAGTATAGTATACTCCTAAAGTATACCAGTCATTACATTATATTATTATATCACTTAAAAATAAACTCAACAACAAAATTAAAGAGGAACAAATCATTTCGTTACTAGTCAGCCAGCCTTGAGTTTGTACAAGACCACTCTCTCTCCTCAAAACGTTATTACACATGAACAAGCGCACACAAACACACCATCCTATATCATTACATCACCTCTCTCTACATGGACTTCCCGCATCCGACGAGACGGTCGGGGAGAGAGTTCAGACAACACCAACGGGATGTGCAAAGGCCGCTACCGGCTCCATATGGAGAGATCAAATACAAGGCAGCTGAGAGCGAGTGCAATGGAGAATATGGGTAGGGAGTAGAAATAGGGTGATGATAAAGAAGCAGAGTTGCTTTTGTGTGCTCCAGGAGGAGCCCTGTGAGCAATGTCGGATGCACCTCCCTTCCCTCCCTTCTTCCCTCCTGACCCTGACGCTTTACTGGACGAACACACCACTCCACAACGCTGCGGCCATTCGGATTCCGTCACATTCAGATCTACGTTGCCAGATAAATGCTTGTTACAAATTATGATCCTGTCCTGTGTTGTAATGAATTTCTATCTGGGGAGTAACATGGATAAAAAGGGTTTGAGTATTTGTTCTATTACCGTGATCTTGTCCTGCTGCCAACTGTGGAAATGGATTTGACAAGTTGAGATCGACTGCTGATACCCAACAAAACATTAGCAGCAGCAACCAAGCAGCCATGACAACAGCTCTGATCTTCATTTCTCTCTTTTTATCTTTCCTTGGCCGGGCGATCTGTGTTTTGATGGGTGTCTCGAGTTGAGGTAGCTGGCTAGGTGTTGAAAAGGAAACTTGGGTTTGGTCTTTTTGGGTTCAGAGTTCCATTTATGCAGCTCAAGAGTTCAAATAAAGAACACTTGAAGGAGGGTCCCTTCATCTGATGCTTGCTCTGCTATGGGGTCGCATTAGTGTTCCTTTAGTTTAGAGATTGCTAGATTCCTGGCAGAGAGAGACCTTTTTCCCCTTGGTTTAATTTCATATAGGTCAGAGAGTCGATTCCAGATTAAGGTAATGGTTTGTGCATTCAGGGATCCAAATTCCAATTGGTTGGCACAAAATGGAACACAATACATAGAAAATGCTGATAGAGTGAAAGAGGGTGAAGGAACTTGATTCCCTCCCCAAACCCTCACTCATCCCATGGAGAATACTTGCTTTATAAGCTAGGTTCGCATCAACTACAGTACATTATTGCGGTGTTCAAGTTAGTGTTCTTTTTCCAAGGGAGAGGAATGGTGGGTGTCTGCAGTCCATAGATTTTACCCTGCTTCAGTTGGACTCTTGCCAGCCGAAGAAGGTTCAGTGCATGCAGCAAAATAGGAACTGAAAGAAGACTAATTTTATTGCATACAATCAGAATAGCTCTTACAATTCCTTAACCAACAGAAGGACTCTTTCTCGCAACATTCACACCAATCCAAATAAACCACTCCTTAGTTTCAACTTCAAGCTTCCCACAGGATGGCCAAAAACAAAACACACTAATGAACACAGCCGAAGACAACAGGACAATGGACATCGCCATCGATTATAATCTCATCCATTTAGTCAACCTCCTCAATCTTAGGACCAGCACCTGCTGCACCAGACCCGCCAGAACCACCACCCATTGGCACATCACCACCGGCTCCGGCTCCATACATCTTGGAAATGATCGGATTGCAGAGTCCTTCCAACTCCTTCAGCTTGTCCTCCAACTCTTCAACCTCGGCCAACTGGTTCCCCTCCAGCCACTGAATCGCATCGTCAATGGCCTTCTCGATCTTCTGCTTGTCAGCCGGATCCAGCTTCCCTGCAAACTTCTCGTCCTTCACCGTGTTCCTCATGTTATACGCGTAGTTCTCCAGAGCATTCTTAGCATCAACTTTCTTCTTCACTTCCTCGTCCTCCGCCTTGTACTTCTCTGCCTCCTGCACCATCCTCTCAATCTCGTCCTTGCTCAGCCTCCCTTGTCGTTCGTGAATCGTGATCTTGTTCTTCACTCCGGCTGTCTTGTCCTCCGCCGACACGTTCAGGATACCGTTGGCATCAATGTCGAAACACACATTGATCTGCGGAACTCCCCTGGGCGCGGGAGGAATGCCTTTGAGCTCGAAAGTGCCCAACAGATTGTTATCTTTCGTTCTCGCCCTTTCCCCTTCGTACACCTGAATCAAAACCCCAGGCTGGTTGTCCGAGTAGGTCGAGAAAACTTGCTCCTTTTTGGTCGGGATCGTCGTGTTCCTTGGAATCAAAACAGTCATCACGCCGCCGGCGGTCTCGAGGCCCAAGCTGAGAGGGGTAACATCCAAGAGAAGCAAATCCTGAACCTTCTCGTCTCCTTCCCCAGTCAGGATCGCCGCCTGAACAGCTGCTCCGTAAGCTACAGCCTCGTCGGGATTAATACTCTTGCAGAGCTCCTTCCCGTTGAAGAAATCCTGGAGCAGCTGCTGGACTTTGGGAATCCTCGTTGACCCTCCAACCAGAACCACATCGTTTATCTGCCCCTTGTCGATTTTGGCATCGCGGAGGCATTTCTCCACGGGCTCCATACACCTCCTAAACAAATCCATGTTCAATTCTTCAAACCTAGCTCTAGTAATGGTGGAGTAGAAGTCGATACCTTCGTAGAGGGAGTCAATTTCGATGGTGGTCTGAGAGGTGGAAGACAGAGTCCTCTTCGCCCTCTCGCAGGCAGTTCTCAGCCGCCTCAGAGCTCTGGCGTTGCTGCTGATATCCTTCTTATTCTTCCGCTTGAACTCCGCCACGAAGTGATTCACCAGCCGATTGTCGAAGTCCTCACCTCCCAGATGCGTGTCTCCGGCGGTGGCCTTCACTTCGAAAATCCCTTCCTCGATCGTGAGCAGAGAGACATCAAAAGTTCCTCCGCCGAGATCGAAGATGAGAACATTCTTCTCGCCGCTCCTCGAACCCTTCTTGTCCAGCCCATAAGCAATTGCGGCGGCGGTGGGCTCGTTGATGATCCGGAGAACGTTCAGACCGGCGATTGAGCCAGCATCCTTGGTCGCCTGCCTCTGCGAGTCGTTGAAGTAGGCCGGGACGGTGACAACCGCGTTCTTGATGGTCTGACCTAGAAAGGCCTCCGCAATTTCCCTCATTTTAACCAGCACCATGGACGAAATCTCTTCCGGAGCAAACTGCTTCTCTTCGCCTTTGTGCTGGACCATGATCATCGGCTTGTCACCGGGGCCCGCGATGACCTTGAACGGCCAGTGCTTCATGTCCGCCTGTACGGAAGGGTCGGAGAATTTCCGGCCGATGAGGCGCTTAGCGTCGAAGACGGTGTTGTGAGGGTTCATGGCGACCTGGTTCTTGGCCGCATCGCCGATGAGTCGCTCTGTGTCGGTGAAGGCAACATACGAAGGAGTGGTGCGGTTGCCCTGATCGTTGGCGATTATCTCCACCCTGTCGTTCTGCCAGACCCCAACACAGCTGTAGGTGGTGCCAAGGTCAATGCCGATAGCCTTGCCTTCAGTTTTGGGCGCCATTGCAGACTCTTCGTCGGATTGAAGGAAATTTGGTTGCTCTGATTAGCTTGGAGGTAGTGATTTGAGAAATTGGAATTTGGAAGGATAATGCAATGTAGGGTTTTGAGTATAGCGTCGATATTGAGTTCTGAGTTGAGATAGTAGGACGGCCATTGGAGCAGAGTTATAAAAGGGAGTGATGGAAGAGTTGAGAGGTTGGTGGAAGGAGGTAGAGAAATCGAGATTGGTGCAGAGAGTTCTAAGAAAGACGGTGACTGTGAGAAAGATGGAAGCAAGCACCAGAGAATTCTGGAAGGCGGGGCAATTGGTTAGGGAAGGCGGAGGCTGGATGCGGGTCCGGGTTTAAATTTCAATGGGCTGGGCCGAACTACTTCCAGGCTCCCAGAAGGAACTGGTAAGGCCAGGCATTGGTGATCGGAATCCTTGACAAAACTCAACGTGTGGATTTTAATGTGACCCTAGCTTGATGTTTAGGCCCCGTCCTACAATTGTCAGATCGAACCAGAATAACCCGGTAATGCGAACAGTTCGCACTTTAGTGATCCAATCGGCATTAGATTGTTTAAAAATTGTTAGAGAACCGGTACCTAATAATCGTTATCAATATAAATAGTGAACATTTCTTAATCAGAACTTGTCTCTTTCCTTCGAAATTGTGAAATGGAAAAAAGGATTCAGTTTGAGACCCCGACGTTTTTGGTTTATTTCAATTTTCAATTTTCTGCAATTTTTTTAATTAAATTTAATGGCTGAATGCAAAAACCGGACGAGTGGCTCGATCGGCTCCAACGGTTAACCGCCTCGGCCGCTCGTCAACCGCTACATAAAACCGGAGCGGCTTTTAGACTGTTCTGAGTCAATTTTTTGACCGGGTGGCGGTTTTATTGGTCGGGCCGAGCGGCTCGGTTTGGCTTTAATAACACAAGTCACAATACTACAATGTTGTTATTATAAGTGCGGCATCGGTGCCGCTATATTTGATTGATCCACGTAGAAGGTGACGTAGCACTGGTTGAATGTATTACATCTTACCCAAGCCTGGTAATCATGAAACCGGTCCAAACTGGCCAGTCACTCAATTGGATGGCAAAAGCCGTTCCGTTAAATTTTGTTTATGTGGTTGAAAGTTCCGCTACTTTTATTCCTCCTCGGTTTTTCTTTTTCCCATTAATTCCATTGACAGTCATTTGCTTTTCCATAGAAACAGCAAATAATAGAAATAGGAAAAAGAAAAATGAGACTCAAAAGCACCTCGTCGTCTTCTTTGCTCTCCCTCGCCGGCAGACTGTCAAAATCACTTTCGGTGACTTCATTGTCGCTGACAAATGACATGACGTGCGTATTTGAAATTAATTATTTTATAATTTTTATAAAATTAAATTATTCTCACAGACCTCAAACCTCAAATTATGCTACACAATGTAAGTAATATCTTGGAAACGAGACATGGTAAGTAATATCTTGGATAAAATGATGGCTAAATTGAGGCATTTAGGGATTAAGGTTAAGAGTATTGAAGAGCATGAAGTTTGTGTTATCCCAATCAACTAGACAAACACATTCATTCAAAACCTTAACAAATTCATTCATTACATAATAACCCTAAGTTCTAAAACAATTACCAATAAACCCATCCGATCCAGGCGCATGCGTTGGCCCAATAGAAACATCGCTCTCCTAATCGACTGTGCCGAAATTGGGGATGTTAAATCCAAATTATCATGCACCAAAACCTTAGAAGCAATCGACAAGGCCATCACTTGATCCCTCACATCAGGAATTTGACATTCTGACAGGAACATAGACTCGTAAAATCCCACCACAGAAGTTTTCCCTGCTTCATCCGTAATTCACTCATCCCTCAAATCTCAGAGCCCCTCGATATTATTCCGCCTATTTTGCACCCTCGTCACAGTATGAAAATAAGACTTCTTATTATCCCCTTCTCGCAGCCATCAGACACTCAATTTTTGCCGCTAGTATACTTCTTCTGCTCCCACTGTCTCGATAGCTCAGCCTCAAATCTACCAATGTACTCCCAGTCCATAGGATGCTCGGCTTTCAATACGTCAATCTCATCCTGCAATGACCAAATGTTCCTTGCAGAATTCCCAATCCAAGCTCGACTCCAATCGTATAAAAAGTGTCAAAGATGTTTTAGTCTCGTCCACTGTTTAAACATCGGAGAACCAATAACTTCCTCAACCCATGCATATTGGACAAAAAATTTAGCTTCAGGATTCCCCGCCCATCTAGCGTTAAATCGAAAGAGCGATCGATTTCTCACAAATGCCTTATCCGTCACTATTAACGCTAGATGATCCAACCCCAAATCCGAACAGTTTCTTACAAAGGATTGGGGGAAAACTCTAACCAAGAATTGGAGGCCAAAACTCGGTGAAGCCGTTCCTGAAATACAAGCACCTCCCATATGATGAT